TGCATACACTTACCATTTCAATGAGCTATTCGGCCCACTGTTTACTGTTTAAAGCGTTGCAGTATGTTGCGTTGCAGACTGCAGTATCAGCAGTTATTTTAAAGCTACCACATCACCACATTTGAACTTCACGTCTTGAAGGGAACAGAAGAGTAGCAAGTTAATATACTTACCTGAATGAAGTTTAATCGTAGTAAAAGGGGAACTTTTTGAAAAACACTGAGTGGAGATCGACTCTCATGAGATTTAAAGCTGCCACACGTTTGTTTCTTACACAAGTGTGTCGCACTCGCGCATCGCGAAAGTTGCTGAGATCAAAATCAACGATGTGACTTGTGTTGTTATGTTTGGTATCGAAACGCGAGTAAGTGAACGCCAGCGCCTGTTTCTGCGAACTGAATGGAAACGTAATTGGCATCGAAAACTTTGCTACGACACCTGCGGGCGACAACATGGAACGGTAGGATCAGTCTTTTATATTCAATGTCGAGCTGTGATTGGTTGCGTGGAATTATAAATTAGTGACGTGCAATGGAGTCTTTCTGGTAGAACTTACGCTTACGCTTTCATTTCTGATTGGCTGTGGGTTTTGATTGATTTTGACGCATCACGCAGTCGTGTCGCGTCTAGAGTGGACAGACAAATTATTTGTCGCCGGAATCTTATCACATCGCGTCTGGTTAGGACACAGTGTTAGAGGTTCTGATTTTAACAGTGCTTTAAGTATTTTTACTCGTACTGAATGTAGGCTCTAGATGCACTAGTCAACACCTAAAACACATGCCAATGAAAAACAAGAAACAGTTGATTTGTAAGGAGAGCAATCACGTTTATTATCTAAAGTCGAAATAAAACGGAACACTTCAATATTGCAATTGACTCAACAGCCTCTTAAAAGTCAACAAACACTGAAGTCTGGTCTCCATGCATCTCATGTATGAAACACCTGCGATTCACAACTAAGTGCTAATGAACTCACATTTGCGTAAAGCAGCCTTGTTGACAAGTTTGGGTAAGTAAGGGCAAAACGCACAAGGTAAGAGTACCTTCAATACCCTGTAGAAGGTGATATCGCTTCTTTCGTAGCAGAAATAAACTGCTGCAGAAAAAGTTAGGTGCCTTGCTAAATGTAACGAGTAATTGCATTACTCATCACAAATGTACTGGAGTAAAGAGTACATAAATAGGGGCTACTTATTCAAAAATGTAGTCAAGTAGAGAGTAAAAGTTAATATCTCTGATAGCTACTCAAACTACAAATTAGCCAAAAAGATACTTAAGTATAGTAACTAATCTACATTTACAATTAGTTGTTCAAACCATGTTAATTATTACTTTTGTTAATGATGTCACATAGGTAGTAGTAACTTCTGCTTATATTACTTCAATAACTTCTTCTAATTAATCAGTTTGAAGTCAAATTAATGTCAGATTATTGCTGTACATTTTTAGATTATTTTCTTGACTATTGCTGTTCATAATAATAATAATAATAATGAATGAATGAATGAATGAAATCTGTTATCAAATGTTGTTTCTTTTGTATTGTTGTTTAATATGCCAATTGTTAGACAGCATTTATGCTACACACTACGTCTGAAGTGTAGAAAAAAATACCAGGCATGAAAACATCGTGCTAAAACACGTTCAAAGCTTACTAAACTACCCAGATAGCATGTAATCATTGAAACAATGTTGACTCAGTGTTGATGCGTCAACGCTAATTGCATTGAATTAACGTTACAAAGTAATGTTGCTTTAGTATCACTCTTGCACCCTCAGTTAATGTTGAAATAATGTTGGGAATTCAACCAAAAATCAATGGTAATAGTATTGATTCAACATTACAAAGTGATATTTTATCAACATCACTTTTGCACCCTCAGTTAATGTTGAAATAATGTTGGGAATTCAACCAAAAATCAATGGTAATAGTATTGATTCAACATTACAAAGTGATATTTTATCAACATCACTTTTGCACCCTCAGTTAATGTTGAAACTATGTTAAACCAAAAATCAATGGTAATGCTATTGAATCAACGTTACACTATGATTGATTATACATCACTGCTGTTGAATCAATATTGAAATTAACAAAAATAATCAATGGTAATATTGTTGAATCAACGTTGCACTATGATGTTGAATCTACATCACTGCTGTTGAATCAGCTCTGAAATTAACAAAAATAACCAATGGTAATATTGTTGAATCAACGTTGCACTATGATTGATTCTATATCACTGATGCTGAATCAATATTGAAATTAACAAAAAATAACCAATGGTAATATTGCTGAATCAACGTTACACTGTGATTGATTCTATATCACTGATGCTGAATCAATATTGAAATTAACAAAAATAATCAATGGTAATATTGTTGAATCAACGTTACTATGATGTTGAATCTAAATCACTGCTGTTGAAGCAACACATTCTCACTGAAATTAACAAAAAATAATCTTTGGTAATATGGTTTGATCAATGTTACAATGTGATGTTGATTCTAAATACATTTTGTTGAAAGACTGAAAAGGAATGTCAAACAATGTTGCCATCTGATGTACCAATTAATGTTGAAACAGCATTAATATTTCAATCACACTTCAATGGTGCGTCAACAAATTCCTGACCATTTCAAAATTTGTCAAAAACCTTTTCAAATATAAATGACACCTTTCCAGCAGTTGAGTCAATTTATTTTATTCAATCAATCAATGACAACAAATATATTAAAATATCATTTTTTTTAAAGAAAGGGGGAGAAATAGGACAAAAGCATTTTAACCTTTAAAAATAAAATTGGCTTCAGAAGTCTGATGTCATCATAACTACAGGTCCAGCGGTTCAGGTTTTTAAAAATCTGTCTTGCATCATCAGATTCTGCCTCTTTTCCTTTGAGTTCTCTGGAATCTGAAAAAGAAAGCATGATGTTACTCAAGAACGAATCAATTCAGTTGTCATACATACAGTCACATTCAATAATGTTAATATACTAAACACAATATGATTCACTTTTTTTTTTAAAGTCACTGAAAACAAAATATTCTAACTACGATTATAGTATCGTAAAATTCAGTTTATTTATTTCTATGAATGCTTTAATATCAAAAGAAAGCACTAGCAGGGGTGTCGGATTTATCTCCAGCCCTAATTAAACACACCTGAGGCAGTTAATCAAGGTCATCAGATCAATGAACACTTCCAGGTGCTGGAGCTAAACTCTTCATGAAGAGGAACAAACACCTCTGAGCTATAGCCATTAAATATCTCAGTTCATTTTCTGTGAAACTACAGCATTCAAATAACACTTTTATCTTGTAGAATAAAAAAGATCTTAGTTTTTTTCAATGAAAATTTCTTTAAAGAGATAGTTCAGCCCGAAATGAAAATTCTGTAATCATTTACTCACCCTCAAGTTGTTCCAAACCTGTATGAGTTTCTTTCTTCTTTTGAACACAAAATAAGATATTTTAAAGAATGTCGGTAACCAGAAAGTTGATGGTGGCCATTGATTTCCATAGTACATTTACAATTATTTCTTACATAGTAAGAAATAATTACCATGGAAGTCAATGGCTAACATCAACTGTCTGGTTACCGACATTATTCACTCTATCTTCGTTTGTGTGCAGCAGAAGAAAGACATTCATACAGGTTTGGAACAACTTGAGGGTAAATAAATGATGACATCATTTTAATTTCAGGCTGAACTATCTCTTTAAAGCTGCAGATTCACCTAATGTAGACCCCAATCTCTTTAAATATCACAAAATAGCCATGTCAGTCAGTTTCTTAATAAACACTAGATGTTTTTTTGTTATTGTGTTTCAGTGGAAACAAGCTAAACTGAATGGAAATCAGTTATTTCTCAAATTTAATACAGATTCAGGAATATGAATGATTACCTGATTAAGCAGTGATAAGATACAGGATATCATCAAGTCCCAGGTCAGGTGATTATGCTGTCGACTACAACTCAAGTGTATGATCAATGTCAGCATTATCAGGAGGGATCTTTTTTAATTGTCCATCTTCATCTGCCTTCACTCCTACTAAAGGAGCAATGTGTTCTGCATGCAAGCACTGACCGATACAAGACATGGGCTGTGTTAACATTCTTGCTCATGTTCATGTCTCTTGCACCTTAAGAAATCTGTTAAATGGCATAACTTTATTCAGGAAATTCCTAATAAACTTTACTAAAGCAAGATGCATTTTTTAAGAATGTAGAAAAATAGATGCTTTATTCAAACACTTTAATAACTTTGTAATCTAATTACAGTGAGTAACAACACAAATCAAACGCAAATAAGCATGCAAAACAAAGGAACAGAGAAATAAGGTAGATGCACCATTGTTTGAAACTCTGCTAGTCGTGTAAGTATGTCAGGTGATTCAACAAACAAGACTTCTGTATGATGCACCTGTTTTCTCTCTAATGAGGAAGCATTAGACTACTGAGAAGTGCACATGCAAAGACAAAATGGGCGTTTACCAATCAGTGGCCAATATCAAACTACAATACAGGTAAATGTTTTTCAACCATTTTTCAACAGACTTGCTAAAATCATGAAGGCCCACCCCTAAACCAAGCCCACAGTGGATTACAGCAAATCGGGTACAGCGGTTGAAAATGCCCATTGTGGTTTGAAAACGCCCCACTGATCGAGAAACACCCACTAGTGTTCTGCAGAGATACGCCTGAATGATCTTGTGCTCATCAACTACAAATCACTGTTAGTTCAATGTCACTGTCTCCACCCATGTGTGTTGTTGGCTTTCATCAAAATTTCAATGCTGATCCAGCACACTTTAAACATTGAAATGTCAATCTCAACCAAAATGATGGTTTAGATCAAAACTCAACATTGTATCAATGTCACCATGCTATCTGGGTACTCAGTGTTAAGCTCATCCCTAATTCCCTAATTCCCCCCATGACTATGCATATATGTTGTAATTAATGTGTTTTTGCTTGTATGTGTCATGCAGATCATTGAGGACTGGAAGTATGTGGCCATGGTGATCGACCGGCTCTTCCTCTGGATTTTTATCCTGGTGTGTGTCGTCGGCACACTCGGACTCTTTGTTCAGCCTCTCTTTCAGAGCTACAACACCCCCGTGGCAGAGGAAGTGTGAGTCACATATTTCTTTCTCTACTCCTTCTCTTTAATTCATGAAAGAGGAGTGTTTGGAGGCCAATGCCTTCTGGAGTTTTGTAAACATCATATGCATTTAACAATAGGGTCACCTTCAATGTGGAAAAGTTTTCTGACGTTTACTGATGCATCTGCTTCTTCTTTTTTTCCTCCCTTCCTTTTCCCATGGTGTTCTTCTCTTTCCTTGGTCTTCCTTTTTGCAGATATGGGGATTTCTAAAATATCTGCTGAATGATCCTGTGACTTTTGGACAGAACTGTTGACCGAGTTTTGACATATCACAAACACAAATCCACATTATTGTTCAGCAGAACATAACCATTGTGGGGTGAATTCACTAAACTGTTGCATCACTTTAGCTATGGTGTTTCAGCGCAAACATAAATCTTATTCACAAACCACCTGCAATCCAGTTTAAGCTGGTACAAAATAGCATTTTGCATTCAAATTCATTGTTTCTGTGCTAACCACCTTTCTATGCAAATTATTAGGCTTCTTATAGAATGTGTATTAAAAAATGAGTGCTGTGTGCCTGGTACAATTAACGTTGTGCTATTATTGACCTTAGAAAGCAAGTTGTAAACACAATTTTACGTAAAACAGATATTTGTTTGCATTTTCTATTGAACGTAATAGCAGTAAATTATCAAATGATGATTAATTGGAGTAGAGTGCTATAATAAGCCAGAAAATCAGCCATTACCTGATTTGAATAATTCCTTGATGAAAATGAACCCAGTTCAATCCCTTGTTAGTGAATTCCTCCCATGTGTCACATGACAAAACTCTGCCCACTACACTCTCAAAGCTATAAACCAATGATCCTGTCTCTTTAGTTAAGAATTTCTCATTTGAACAATAATAGCATCTTATGACAGTTGTCAGTGCCACTCAGTTGAAATCTTTGCAGCCAAATTGTTGTGTAACTATAATATTTATATGTTTTATGTAGTGTTCACTTTTATATTTTTTCAAGGCACACATTCACTTCTATCAAAGAAGGTTTACAGGGTTTCAAGAGCAGGATGATTATCAGAGACCTTGATACAAGGACTAATTTTCTAAGATTCAAAGTTTTTCTCCTTCTTGCTTGACACACAAATGCATTGACACACAAACTGTAGTTCACTCAATATTGTTTGATATGAACATTTGATTAATGGCTGTGAGTGGTATCTGGAAATGAATCACATTTTAATTGCCTTTAAATAAAGTTTCATGCTGTGATCGAAAAGCACTTCACCACCACAACATTATGATCAATAGACTTTTCAAACTAAGCATTGTAATTATACAAATAATAAAATAAAACATTTTTTTCCTTCATTTCTTTCAGTGTTACTTTTTATGTGAAAGCAGTTTCTTTATCTCACTTTTTCTGTTCTGTTCATTCTCTTAATGCACATTCAATTTTTATGTCCCATCTTTGAATCGAGAGAGTCCATTTACAGAGTACATAAACTTTAAATCCCTAGTAGACAATCCTCCATTATTGACATATGGGTTATAAATTATATGATACATACACCGGTGGGTATTTTTTCAATGTGTCCTCACAGTTAATAATACAGAGACAAACATTTAACCGTTTCACTGATACTTCAATAACATGCAGGTGCACAGAATGAGTGTTGATGCCTTTGCTAATCTTTTTTTTAACATTAGCATGGAAAGTATTCCATTGCCATGGAAACCACTGAGACATGGGTGTGGTGTCCATTTTAAAGTAGTCTTCCCTATGTCATTCATATTCCCTGTAAAGGGGTAAACCCTTATAGCAACAACTTAATCCTTTCAAATATTACCATGTATGATTACATTATTATAATTGCTTTTAATATTATTAAGGTGAATATTTGTTTAATTTCGGCACTTTCATATACAGTTTATAATTATATGTACACAATATTCCTCAAAAATAAAATTAAAATCAGTTTAACACTGTAAAGCCTGAGAAAATGAAATAATAGTCAGAATAATTGAATTTTTAAAAATGAAACAGTTAATTGAACTTTGAGACAGCATATGAAAGAAATCTTAAAAAAGATTGCATATGTATTTTTTGTTGAGTATTACATTTTATACATCAGGCTTTTATGGCACATATATTATGAAATAGGAGAATATGGAGATCAAACTCGAGGAGAAAAAAGTTTTATTTAGAGACCCAAACTAAGCAAAAATATGCAATTTGCTGCAGTTGTTGATATTTATATGGCCAAAAAGTAAGATGAAATTCTCATAGCTTATAATGCAAATTAATGAGATCTTTAAAACAGTTTAGAAGACTGCTTACATGAATGAAAATAAATATCAGAACTTGTCACTCTATGGTCGATCGGATCGGAAGTAAACAAGGGAGAGACATAGTCGTTTACACCTGGTGTTTTAATCAATCTCTTTTGTCCACTTTCAACCTATTCTGTCCTGATTTCTTCGAGGAGAGGGTCTATGGGCAGGTTTACTTTGATCTAATGGACACAATAAGCTTGCACAATTAACATATGAACACGCACGGAGACGACGGGAAAACATACGGAGAGCATCAGCTTTCGTTTCTGCTCTGATTGCCACAAGACCATGCCAAACGCTGTGAGTGCATGTTAGAAATCAGGAATGGTGAGAGAACATTTTGATACGTTTTTCGTCTTCAAACAAAACTTTGGTCTCCAGCCAACTGTCACGATTAGCCACGCACTCCCTGGGTGATTACGGACTCCATTTCCCATCATGCATCTCCCTGGACTGATTACACCATACACCTGCACTGCGCTGATTACACATACACCTGCACCTCATGTTCAAACACTCATTTAAAGGAGAACTCCGGGCAATTTTTAAGTTAATCTTGATCGTTACACCTTTGTGAGTAATGTCTATAAAAAAAAAAAAAAACGAACCGGATTGGTGCTTGCAACACGGAGCTGTTCCCGCAAATGCCCAGAGCTCCCACTCAGCTAAAACGGCAGTTATGGGGGCATATACATAAAGAGTGTCTTTGTGCCTCATAACAGACACGAAATGCAATTTAAATGTCTGTCCAACATGAACAGGCCCCTTACATGTGAACAAGATGCATTTAGCAACTTAGCCATTGTTTAAATTCACCTAAATAGTGTTTTAGACGGCTAGCTGTATAGTCTCGCGCTGAAGTCCCGTGGGAACTCAGTTGTAGCCGGAAAAAGGTAAATAGCAGTGTGCAGGTGGGAGTATATTATATATATAAATATAATTGAAGACATAGAAGCTAGTGAAATAATTAAAGTTTTGCAAATAAGACTACAAAAACATATTACTGCACATCTCTCCTCAAGCCGTGTGTGCCCAAATGGAAGGATACATAAAGTTTATATTACCTCCACGGTGGTTGCACCCGTCTTCGTCCACGGAATGGCTTTTTTCTTCAACCGGCCCCGCTGTGTTGTGTCCTGCCGAGCCTGAGTTTCTTCATGCCGGCCCTCACGAACCTGAGCTACTTCACGTCAGTCCTGCCGAGCCTGCACTTCACGGCAGTAGGTCCCTGAATGGGATCATGGAGGCCACGCCGCCATGGCCACCCTGGCCGCCCGAAGGGTCTGCTCCGCCCTGGCCCCCTGAACTCTCTGGTCCGCCCTGGCCCCCTGACACCAACAAAGTGTAAATCCCCTCTGGCTAGCGCACTTTCAATAATGTTTATGCATTAAGTCATAAGGCGGAGAGTAAGCGGTCTTTTGTGGCTGTTCGAACACATTCGACCACATGCAACGGCGAATGCGTTTTCGACTACCTCTGTAAGTGGTAAAAAGTGGAAAAATTCTAAATGTTTTAGACCTCGTTTACATCTGTATAGTGTTGTCCACTTGTGTTTCGATCAACCAAAACACATCTTAATATCAGGTGTAAACAGGGCCTATATCTCCCAATAATATTGTGACATATTCGGCAAGTATGAGCAGAAAAAGGAAGAGACGTGGAAGCACGAGACGGAGTCGAGGAGCCACACAGTGTTAGAGGCGGGGGCATAGACGAGGAACAGGACGACACCAGGAGGATCCAAGAAGCTTGATGTAACCAGCCTAGGAGATGGGACCAGAATGTTGGGCAGGAACATCGGAGGAGGAAGGTCTCCGGATGGAACCAGAGCAACTAGACAGCCGGACAGGACAGAGAGAAAGGGCGTCACTTTGAGGGTAGGGACTCGGGAGGTAACTGGATCCGCAGACCACAGGTCTTTAAGGCACCTGCTCCTGGCTCTGGGAGGGATTGGGGAATGCAGTTCAACTCCGGGACAACCCAGGTGGCAGGCTCGGGCTCATGATGTGTGGGATACGCGGCACTAACAGGCTTCTCCTCTCGCAGAGGAGAGAGGAACCGCTGTGCCATAGTACCCACGACAAGTACTCCACTAATGTCTTCCGTTCAAGGAGAATGAGACTGCTGGTGAGTCCATCACTTAATATACTCATTTTGAGGGCCCGGTATTCTGTAACGTACTTACAACGCAAGGATGAGCAGAAGAGGGGATTGACTATAGTCTTAATCAAATGAAACACAATTATCCAGGAATCACAGGAATAAACAAAGGCAGTGTAACAGCATGTATGAATAAACACAAGACAATACCAAACTCAGGACTCAGGACTTAGGAAATACTAAGGAGATAACAATAACTATAAGACACAGCTGATAATTATAAGTAACCATAAAAAAAAAGGGGACATAATCAGAAACCAAGGAAACCAAAACTAAACAGAGCAGAGAAACGGGAACTAAGGGGGAAAACGGAATATCAAAATAAGAGTCCATAACCTTGACAAAAAATGATGTCTTATTAAGATTATATTAAAATGCTTGGTTACTTTATGAAAATCATTAAAGATTTCACAGCAAAAAGACACATGTACCATGACCTTGTTTTTTTTTTCCAGCAAAGTGATCATATTGATAATTTAGAGGCCTTAGAATTTTGCATATCAGTTATGAAACAATAGGCTTTATTGGATTAAAGCACTTAGAATATGAATGGATTTATGTTATATTTTCAAGGTCTGACTTCAAAGCTGATGTTTCTAACTGAAATGCACCTACAAATTGAGGTTGATGAGCTACTCAGTGTGCCCTGAGCAGTGATGCTATCTGGAATGTAACCTTTGTTACCGAAAACTGTCTTACTGTACTAGGAAAAACGACCCAAATGTATTTCTAATGATCATTGAATTTGCAGAATGCGAGACTGGGATCCCTGCCATCAGGCAGCATGCTAGACAAATTAACCATCTAAGTGAAAATTGGTACCAGCATGTGACCCAATGAGACAAAGTCCAAAACTGGAATGCATCAAGCTCAGCTTTATAGTTATTTAAAAAACTATTATCTTCTTTT